TCGGCTTCGTCTTTGTTGACATGTCATTTTATTCTCGCTTGCCTCGTTCCACATAAAAGGGCAGATCGTGTTTGCTGATGCTTGACAGAAGGGAAATATAAAACTATTATTCATTTTTTTAATGAAAGGTTAACGAGTTGGGTGAGAGAACGCAAGAAATGAGATAGAAAGTTAGTTCTATAGGATCTTACTAATATAACAAGTCTCTGCGTTTTGTTTATGATTCTATATCGTAGTCCTGGATAATATATGGTCTTTGGTCCCAATTAGCAAGGTCCTGGGAGAGTTAAGGGACGTCAGGTCTTGTAGTGGTCTTCTTTAGGTCTTGTCTCATAGCCTTAGGAGACCGAAAAGATATCCGAGGCTTGGTGGAGTGCTGGGTCTCACTCCGTTTCTTACATCAACAAAACTCATCAAGTGGACATGTAAAATCTAGGTGAAATTACGACTTCCATTTTATATGAAAAAAAGAAGAAGATATTAGTAGAAGTGTTTTTTATCCCATATTATAAAAGAAAGAAATAAACATATGAACTGTTGAGAATCCAGGGCACGAAACAGCCAAGCAGCCAGTCAACCAACCAACCAACCCAACCAACCAACCAACCTAGTAGACAGTGTGACATTCCCCCTCACCACTTCAACATTCAGGTCACCTCACCCTGACTCACACCCACTCGAGAACAAAAAAAAACACAGAAAACTCCTGGAAAGCAAATCTGGAGCCTGACACACAGCGTATATATATAACAACTATCAGAAGACAACAACATTCTGATCTGACAGGAGGGAAGCGGTAACTGGCCCTGTTCTGTCGAGTGGAATAAGGGCGGAAAAAAAAATCAAAGGTTGTGGTTGGTTGTACGTGTTTCATTTCGACTATCAGGTGACGGGAATGTAATGATGCAGCTCCGAGACACAATGTAGCTATGTTGAGTAGCTTGAGTATGTTTGTTTATCTTTAGGTGGGAGGGAGGAGAGGGTAAGACTGTAGTGCAGGGAGAGAGAGAGAGAGAGAGAGGGAGTGACGGAGAGAGAGAGAGAGAGGGAGGAAGGGAGGGAGAGAGGGTGTCCATTAGGTTGGGTTATTCACTACGATGATTTAAGAAAGTGTACTCAAGGGGTTAATAAATCGTACTCAAGGGGTTAAGATATCTTATTCATCGTACTCGTAGACCTTAAGGACTCAGTGAACTGGCTACAGACTCACACCGGTAAGACAGAACTTTAGAATTAGAGGTGTTGGCACGATACTGCTTTTTTGGAACCGTGTGTGTGTGTGTGTGTGTGTGTGTGTGTGTGTGTGTGTGTGTGTGTGTGTGTGTGTGTGTGTGTGTGTGTGTGTGACTAAAAATCAGTGTCAAGGCAAATCTGAACTCCTGAACTTAAACGTGTAATATAATTTGGGTGTGTGGAGGAGCCATGTATGTATGTATGTACACATCTTACACACCAACATTTCTCTTTTAGTTGATACGTACGCACACACACACACACACACACACACACACACACACACACACACACACACACACACACACAATGGCAGGATTTATTGAACAGTCTCCAAACTGGGCCACCAACAACCATGTCACCATCAACCATACCAAGACCATGTTGCACATCAACCTCTCCTCCGACATTGTCCCACCTCCTTCCATTACCCAAGGTCCGAACACACTCCAGTTGTAGATTCCACGAAGCTCCTCGGCGTCACCATAGACAACAAACTAAATTGGAAACCACACGTCAGTGAAGTTGTCAAATCTCCAGTTTCCGTCTCCACCTCCTCCGCCGACTCAAGTCCTCGGAGCCTGCACGAGCCTCAGTGTATACACAACATTCATACTTCCCAAGCTCACCTATGCCTCCCCCACCTGGTCTTCTCCCTAAATGCCACAACGTAAACACCTAGAAAGTGCAAAAGAGGGCATGCAAGATTATTCTCCCCTTCCTACCCACATATCAAGAAGCCAACACACTGACCCTTTCGACTCTCACTGACCATCACCACGGCCTCATCTGCAAATTTGGTAAGAAGCTTCTACACCATCCCCGACACCGGCCCCTACTACCACCTGAGATCCTGTCCGAGAATTGCTGTTCGACACCACAACCGCATCCAGCCCATACGTGCACGAACTGATCAAGCTATAAGAACAGCCCAGTCCCAAATTGAAAAATTATCAATAACATGTAATCAATCAGTATTCACTCTCAGTAAACACTGCTCCCTACACTGTCACTATGTTGAAATGAACTGTAGTTTGAGCTGATCCCATCCTGTTATTATATGTCTTATTTGTGTCACTTATGTTACTTGTATATTATTTGTAATTCGTAACCCATTCCCCAAATATGTAACTGTATATTTTCAGCCTTCTATTGCCAAGCTCTTTCAATAAACCGTTAATTATTATTATTATTATTATTATTATTATTATATTTTAACTTACGAACCACTGAAAGATCTGAAAGAAAAACCAAACGTAACCTAACGTAACCAAACCAAACAAACACTACGTAACGTAACGTAATCTAACCAAAGCAAACCTAACCAAACCACAGTAGCCAATCCGGTCCGAGGAATTTATGATTAAGACCAGTGACCTCCTTTGAACCTAATACGTGACCCAGGTAAAGTAGACCAATGAACCAGTTTTCACAAATTATCACCCATCATCCTCACCAGACGATACCTTCAACATTACCTCACACCTGTTAAGTTACTCCTACACACCTTGTATAATAATCTTCTTTAATCTCTAACAAACTTTTTTAAAATCGAATTCAATTTTAAGATGTTAATTTTTTCTCCTGTGTTATGTTTGCGTTTTGTAGTTCGTTAATTTTATTATTTGTTTCTTGAACACCGTATTCCGAATTCTGACCACTGAATCTGAATCCAGAAAGCTCGAATCCGAATCTAAAATCCGAATCCCTAATCCTAAGTTTGATGTAAACCCGAATCCGAAGTACGAACTCATAAATCCAAATACGGAACACTGAATCCGGATCCCGACCCCTGAATCCGAATCCGAGTCTTAGTTGAGCAATTAGAGGACAAATTTTTGAAATATGCTTCATAAGATAGATAGATAGATAGAGAGAGAGAGAGAGAGAGAGAGAGAGAGAGAGAGAGAGAGAGAGAGAGAGAGAGAGAGAGAGAGAGAGAGAGAGAGAGAGAGAGAGAGAGAGAGACACGTTAATGCTGGAACAATGAACACACACACACACATCTGACCACAAGAACGGAACAACTTGGTGGAACAAGGAACATTAGTACAAAGATCAACAGGGTGGGCAGCAACAGCAGCTTGGGGTAGATGAGATGGTGCTGGTGCAGGGGGAGGGGAGGGGAGGGGGGGGTGCAGCAGAGGGGGGGGTGCTGGGAAAGAGAGGAGGGGAGGGTATGGAGAGGGGAGGGGTGGTAGGTAGGGTGGAAGGGGTGGTAAAAATGGGTGGAGGGGATAGTAGGGAAGGGGTGACGAAGGGGAAGAGAGAGAGAGAGAGAGAGAGAGAGAGAGAGAGAGAGAGAGAGAGAGAGAGATTACCTGAGGAATGATGAGGTGAGGGGAAGAAAGTCTTACATGACATATACTCCCACACCTTGTTTTAGTTCTCCAGGTAAAGATGGCGTCTATTGTTTCCCATGACTTTAGATACACAACAGGTGGCAATGAAGTTGTTTTTGGGTCATTCATCTGTATTTTCGGCCTTAATTGTTTAAAAAAGGACATAATGTGGATGTTCACCTGTCGTAAGTAAGGAAATTGTTCACGGTGTTGCAAGTAAATGTCAACAGCTGGTCCAGAGAGAGAGAGAGAGAGAGAGAGAGAGAGAGATTTACTAACTGGAATGTGTCAGAGTAGAGTTTTGCCCAACACCAACACAGTACACACACACACACACACACACACACACACACACACACACACACACACACACACACACACACACACACACACACACACACACACACGATAGATAAACATCCCTAGGTTAATAATAGACCTCATCTTCAACTAACTAAATCTCAACGCTAGGTTTGGTAGAATTAGGTCAGGTTTGGTCAAGTTAGGTAAGGTTAGTTTAGTTTAAGTTAGGTTAGGTTAGGTCAGGTTAGGTTAAGTTATGTGTTAGGAAAGGGGCCACCTGACCACTTATCAGGAGTGTGTGACCCTGAAGTCCAATTTGGGCAGAGTAAAGAGGAACAGATGACCTGACACTCGGGATCACGGGTCACAAGATGCCATGGAAAGTGACCTTGACAGCTGACCTCTGGCAGTCACGGATTCATAGACAATGACGGCGGCGGGTGGGGGGGGGGTGTTAGAGAGATCATGGTCTCTCTCTCCATCTATCTCTATCTCTCTCTCTCTCCATCTCTCTCTCTCTCTCTTCTAGTCATCTCTCCCTTTTACCCCTTACTTACCAACCCCCTTCCCTCACCTCCCCCCACCTACTTTCTCTATAATTCTCGAAAAACACAAAATCCATTCACTCATAATTTTCCACACCTGTCAGTCTTCATAACCACAGGTAAATAAATAATAATATTACCTGAAAATACAAGAGACTTCAGCCTGAAACGTGACCTTTATCGACACTAACCCCGTGATCTGAAATAGCGAGCACTTCAGTTTTAATGAGGAAATTGAAATATGTTGATTTTATGTTGTTTTCGTTGTTTAGAATTTTATTGGGGGGGGGAGGGGGGCAGGGTTGTTAAGAGATACACATTGTAAACTCATTGTTCATTGTTGTTATTGTTCTTCTATCGTTTGTTGTTTTGTTCTTGTTATTGTTATTGTTCTTATGTTTGTTGTTGTTGTTATTGTTCTTCTGTCTGTTGTAGCTGTTCTTTTGTTGTTATTATTGTTGTTCTTCTTCTGTTGTTGTTGTTCTTCACACTCTTTACTCATCTCACGTCCTAACAACCTTACCCACCGTCCAATTGAAATTCTTGGTTGCTGTGACCTGACGACACAACACACCTATCAACACCCACTCACTACAGCTTTCTCTCGACCCAACAACTTGTGCTTGACTGTCATGTGTACGTGGTCACTAGATTCACCTGTCACGTACGGAGAGCTGTCATAATGTACAGTACGTGATCATGAGGAGTAAAATACGTGGTCACTAGCTTCACCTGTCACGTACGGAGAGCTGTCATAATGTACGTGAATGACACTGAAACACGGTCACTGCCACGTCCGTAACTCCCTCATAACCTAACCTAACCCAACCAGGTACGTAAGTGATGAAAGTAGTTATTTTTTTCCTTTTTTTTTTCCTTCTCGTTTTTACTTGACCTAAATCTTGTTCTTATCTCCTCTGCTTCCTTGTTTTCATTTTCCTCTTGTGACGTAACTTCCTCCTCCCCCTCTCTCTTTGTGTCTCTTGCTTACACGTATCTTCTCCTCTCCTTCTCTATCCTCCCTCATCCTTTCTTCCTATTCTCATCTTTCCCTTTTCCTTATCCTCCCTTCCCTTCATCCTTCCCACCCTCCCCTACCCCCACACCCCTCCCTACCCCCTAACTGCGCCATGTGTGACCTGGGGTTGCCAAACACCTGCCCTACAGTCTGGCGGTGCTTCGTCAGCGTTGGTATGTTCACGTTGGTTCAGAGAGAGAGAGAGAGAGAGAGAGAGAGAGAGAGAGAGAGAGAGAGAGGATAACTGACCGTTTTCCGGATGTGGATTTTCCTCGTGTTTTAAGACGGACTTGAAAGGGTGAAATATTACTTACAGATTCTCCGACATTTTGATCCTGTCTGTCTGCTTGTGTCTGTCTAACTGTGTTTCTCTGCCTCTATTTTTGTCTCTGTCTGTCTGTCTGTCTGTATCTGTCATTTTATATCTGTCTGTGTGTTTCTATCTGTCTGTCTCTGCCTGTCTGTCTCTTGTCTGTCTTTCTGTCTCACCTTCGACAACCAGCTACCTGTCCTTAACGCCACAGCCTTTCTGTCCACGAACCTGAATCATTGTTATTCTGTTTAATCCCGTGTGTGTGTGTGTGTGTGTGTGTGTGTGTGTGTGTGTGTGTGTGTGTGTGTGTTAGTAGTATGTATGTATGTATGATAAAGCATCTTAATTCTACCTCGAGACGTAGAGCGAGGGCGATATGATCGAGGTGTATAAATGGAAGTCAGGCTAAACAAAGGTGATATATAACAAAGGTACTCAAACTATCCCACCAGGAGCGAACTCGTAACAATGGTTTTAAATTAGACAAATTTAGATTTAGGTGTGAGATAGGTCAACACTGGTTTGGAAATAGAGTAGTGATGAGGAACAAGTTACCAAACATCATCATTAACTCTAATACGCTGGATAGCTTCAAACATAGGTTGGATGGATATATGAGCGATAGGGGTTGGGTGTAAATGGACTGTCCAGTATTGGCCAATAAGCCCGCTGCAGTTTCCTCCATTCTTATGTTCTTGTATGTATGTATGTATGTATGTATGTATGTATGTGTATGTATGTATGTATGTATGTATGTATGTATGTATGTATGTATGTATGTATGTATATATGTATGCATGTATGTATGTATGTATGTATGTATGTCTTTCTCGGACTTTAATGTTAGGATTCATTTATAATTGTTGTTCATTGTTCTTCTGTTCTGTAAGTGCCGATCTAGATGCCACACACACACACACACACACACACCCATGACCTATTTCAAGAGTCACCTTGTCATGGGTGACCTGTAACTTCCTTATTTTTCAGGTATTTCGCTTCTCCCTCGACCCCTGACCCCCCCCCTCCCTCCGTGTGTGTGTGTGTGTGTGTGTGTGTGTGTGTGTGTGTCCAAAATTTATAACACACCGACAGGACCTAAATGGTATCACTTAATTTCACAACAATTTCTTAGGTAATAGTTAATCTTATTTTCTTATTTCTCTTATTTTATGATTGCTCTCTCTCTCTCCTCTCTCTATCTCTTTCTCCCTTGATCTTTCCACCTATATCTGATGTATCTCTTTCTCTCCCTTCCTTTACTCTCTTTCCTTCCTCCTCAGTTCTCCTTCCCTTCCCCCCACACTACCTATTTTCCCCTTTTTCCCTCTCTCCTCCAAAATCTCCGCCTTCCTCCAACCACTCCCCCTCCCTCCTGCCCTTTCCCTTAACTCCAAGATATATCAGAATAAACTTTTCCAATATCTGTTAAGACATCATATACGGTACAGTCATCACCTGAACTCTTACTCTACCTGTAATACCTAAAGATACTATACTTATATACTTACAATTCTCAAGGTAATAATCACTTTTGTAATATATTTACCACAAAAAAAGAAAGAAAGACTGTATTTGTATATATCATCACCATTTTGTACGTTGTGTCAGTTTATTGGAGGAAATATTGTGTGATGTTTGGCAATAGGTGTGGTGACTCAGCATTGGTGGGGAGTGGAATGGAAGGATGTGAGGGTAGAGGAGAGAGAGAGAGAGAGAGAGAGAGAGAGGAGAGGAGAGAGGAGAGAGAGAGAGAGAGAGAGAGAGAGGAGGAGAGAGAGAGAGGAGAGAGGAGAGAAGAGAGGAGAAAGGAAGGAGGAATAGAGGAGGGAAGGAGTGAAAGGCAGGAGGAAAGTAGAAGTGACGGAGGGAGGGGGAAATGAGAGGTTTTTGATGGTGACAGTGTCTGGTTGTGTCTGCGGTTGTCGGGAGTCGTGGTGCCGGCGGTGCCCTGGCGGTGTCCGTGTCTGGTGCTCTGCGTGTCCGGTGGTAACGGTGTGTCTGCGGGTATCTGGTGGCGTCCGGGTGTCTGGCGGTGTCTGCGGGTGTCTGGTGCCCGTGGCGCCCAGGTTCGGTGGTGTCTGGGTGGCAGGTGGTGGTGTCTGCGGGTATTGGTGTCTGGGTGTCTGGCGGCAGGTCTGCGGGTGTCTGGCGGTGTCCGGTGCGCCTGGTGTCTGCGTCGGGTGTCTGCTGGTATGCGTGGTACTGCGGTACCTGTGGTGTCTGGGGTGTCTGGCGGTGTCTGCGTGTCTGGCAGCGCGGGTGTCTGTGGGTGTCTGGCGGTGTCTGCGGGTGTCTGGTGGTGTCTGCGGGTGTCTGGTGGTATACGTGCGTATCTGCGGTGGTCTGGTTGTGTGTGGTTGTGTGTGGTTGTGTCTGCGGGTGTCTGGCGGTGTCTGCGGGTGTCTGGTTGTGTCTGCGTTATCTGGCGGTGTCTGCGGGTGCCCCTGGTGTCTGCAGGTGTCTGGTTGTGTCTGCGGTGGCGTGGTGGCGGTGTGTGTCTGCGGGTGTCTGGCGGTGTCTGCGGTGTCGCGGTGTCGTGCGTCTGCGGGTGTCTCGTGTGTCTGCGTGCCTGCGGGTGTCTGCGGGTGTCTGGCGGTGTCTGCGGTGTCTGCAGGCTCGGTGTCTGCGGTGTCTGCGTCTGGCGGTGTCTGCGGGCTGCTGGCCCGGTATCTGTGTGGCAGGTGGGTGGGTATCTGGTGGTGTCTGCGGGTATCTGGTGGTTGTCTACGGGTGTCTGGTGGTGTCTGCGGTGTCTACTGGAGCCTGAAGGTGTCTGCTGGGGAAGGGATGGGTCAAAGGTTTGCTTCGTAAAAAGCCTCGCCCCTTCAGACAGGTAGCAGCACCAGGCAGGAAGCCACACCAGAGCGTAGCGGACTCTCACCTTTAGGTACCCCGGCCAGAATCCCTGTGTTGACGCCGCGGTGTTTCAAGGTCACGACCAAGAGTACAATAACACGAAAAAGTTTAAGATTCTTAGAAGTTTGTGCGCAACATTTGACCTTTAAATGATGGTATGGAAAGACGTCTAATTTAATCCGAGAGAGAGAGAGAGAGAGAGAGTATCCAGATATTGATAAATAATGTATACAAAAGAATGATTATTTCTCTCTCTCTCTCTCTCTCTCTCTTCTCTCTCTCTCTCTCTCTCTCTCTCTCCCGGACGAGTTGGGCCTCTAACAGGGTGAGTCAGGAGGGTCATCTGATAACACTACATACACCTGTGAGATCGTTCAACACCTTCTGCAGAGTTTGTGTGTCAGGGAGTCAACCCACCGACCAAACCAGTAAGTGAAAGAGATTACTTGAAGATTAGGCATCCCAGTTTATTTCACCTGAAGAATAAACACCTTGACCTAACCTAACTTAACTTTACTCTACCAGATAACTTTAGATTATTTGTATTATCAGGTGAAACAAACTAGAGTACTTAACCTTCAGGTGATCGAGTAAAAGTCATGTTTAGAGAGAGACGAAGTGGCGTACCTCAGGAACATGTGTTGGGTCTCATGTTGTTCAGCCTGCCAGTATATCGGAGATCTCATAAACCTCGTTCCCGATGACTATTTCTTATTTATGGAGAGGCGCTGTTACTTGATGTTAGTGTGGGTGAAAGTCTTTGAACATGTGCTGGTGAAGTGATGGTGTTCCCGAGGGTCGTGAGTTGGAGCCTATGTTATTATTCAGTTTACGTAAGTGTTCATATATTTGTTTTTTTAATTTATATACATATTATATATATAATTTCTCTTGTATTACACAAATAACTTTCATAACGTAGGAACTTCATTACCACCTCGCTATTATATATCCCCAGGAGGCCAGAATGTAATGAATAACTTTATGTGTCGATGAAGGCCAGATGTTGACTACCACCAAGAGACATACACACCTTCAGGCTGGACAGGTGATGTGTGGTGAGGACCGAGTAAGTGATTACGTGAGAGGGAACATTCGACTCCCAGGTGACGATGACGAATCAGTTGAAGGAAAATACCGAGGAAATGGTCGTTGAGACTCATCCTGGAAACCTGAGGTAGTGACAGCTGCCTAACTTTCTACACACGTATAAGTTCGTTTACATCTACCATATGTTCCATCCACACGGGTCAAATGGGCCGGCCACTCTCCTATTCGGGCCCTCAACCTAAACAAACCAAACCTAACCTAATCTGACCAAACTCAACCTAGCAATGTGCTTCACTGCTACAAGTCAAATGAACCTCACTCTTAATAACACACCCCCTAGTCCTAAAAAGACCCCCCCCATCCCCTCCTCTCTCTCTCTCTCTCTCTCCTCTCTCAAACGACCATTACAAACTTACCCTCATCTTAATATTCTGTTAATCTACCCAAACCCTAATAGACCCTAGTCCTAATGGGCCCCTGATCCTGAAACCAAATCTTAACGGTTAAATAAGACTAAGGGCCTAATAAGACAGGAGCCCTATTGAGATCTGAGGTCCTCTACTAAGACTTGGGATTTCATTAAGGAACCTCTAAATATAAGACTTGGGTCCTATAAAAGACTGAGACGACCAATCATAACCTCCCTCTTTCTGCTAATCTTATTCCTACGATATCTCCCATCCTTACTCCATCCATCCCATCCTTACTCCATCCATCCCTCCATCCATCCAGAGAGAGAGAGAGAGAGAGAGAGAGAGAGAGAGAGAGAGAGAGAGAGAGAGAGAGAGAGAGAGAGAGAGAGAGAGACTGTAATCAAAACAAAACACTACCCCACACATAGTAATCTAACACGGACATATATTCACCCGGACACTATCACAGGTCAAAGGTCAAGACACTTCAGTGACTGCCAACTACCATAATGGCACGCAGCTCACCAGGGAACCACGAAAATTAAATACTAAAACAATTCTTATCTATTCAATGCACGGAGATGCTGACAGCCACCATTATCATAGTCACCCCTAATAAAGAAAATTGGTGAATAGAAAACAGATTAGCTCTGTGGTTTAGATAGATAGATAGATATAGATAGATAGATAGATAGATAGATAGATAGATAGATAAAGAGTGACCACGACGAACTTCAGTAATACATAAATTCGTGTTTGTGTCGTCATTCTCAGACCTTCATGATATAAATTTATTGCCCCGTCAGACGATGCCACGACATTACGAGGGTCACACTATAACTTAATCGCTAATCATTCGGTTTGGAGGAGAAGGTCTTAATGGGCCCCTGATTCAATGGGCCCCAGTCCTAATGGGCCCCTGTTTTAATGGGCCCTATTTCTAATGGGGTGGTCCTATTCTTGTTCTGATGAGACCAAATTCTAATGGTTGGATTAATTTTGGGTTTGGTTCGTGTCTAAAAGAACTGGAGACACTCTGTATTGGTCTAATCTTGTCTCGTGTTTTAGTTTGATACATTTGAAAGAATCCCTTGGGGTTTGACTTCGCCTCCCTTGCTGCCTTCAGTTTGGGTGAAAGGAATCAATAAAGGGGATATAGATAAAGTTCTTATAATATCCGAGCAGGATAGGACTCGGAGCAACGGATTCAAGTTGGATAAGTTTAGGTTTAGGAGGGAGATAGGAAGAAACTGGTTCACAAATAGGGTGGTGGACGGGTGGAACAAGCTTAGCAACTTTGTAGTAAGTGCGGGAACTCTGGAAAGTTTCAAAAGGAGGCTAGATAGATTCATGGATGATAGAGAGTGGTAGTAACTCTCGACAGGAGCTGCCATGCACAGGCCAACCGGCCTATTGCAGACTCCTTATTTTCTTATGTTCTTATCTCTGTCTCAACCCTACTGGCCAATACCTTATAATAATCTCAGAGGTAAACTTCACCACGATTTATTCTCCTACCTATAGCCTTCCTTTGTCCAATAATATTCTTTAAATAATTATTTATCCATTTGGGGTCATTGTTACTTGATTAGATTAGTTAGGTTTGAATAGATTAAGTTAGGTTATGTTAGGTAAGCATTCAGGTGTTTGATCATCAGGTAAACCAATATTACACCTCGTAAATTTTAACTATTAATGAACAAGTGTAAAACCACCTTGCTCCGCCTTTAAAGCCATTAGTTAGTTATTGAAGCCATTAGGTAGTTATTGGCTAGTTAGTCATTGAAGCCATAAGGTAGTTATATAGCCATTAGTTAGTTCTTGAAGCCATAAGGTAGTTATTGAAGCCGTTAGTTATTGAAGCCATAAGGTAGTTATTGAAGCCATTAGTTATTGAAGCCACAAGGTAGTTATTGAAGCTTTAGGTAGTTACTGAAGCCATTAATTAGTTATTGAAGCACAGTAATAAAATCATACCATCAAGGTGAATCATCAGGTGAGGTAAACTATGGTGTCTAATCTTCAGGTGACATAAGCTGAGGTGTGTAATCAACAGGTGATCAGGTATATGTCATGATCACTGATGGTCTCATGATCACCTGGAGAAAGTGGCTGACCTGGTATTGTCAGGTCCCCGAGTTATGATATGACTTGTTGGTTGACCTGACTGACACTCTCGCCTCACCTACTGCTTGTATGAGTGGTGATAGGGTGGGGGTGGTGATGGGGTGGTGATGGTGATGGGGTGGTGATGGGGTGGTGATGGTGATGGGGTGGTGATGGTGATGGGGTGGTGATGGTGATGGGGTGGTGATGGTGATGGGGTGGTGATGGTGATGGGGGTGGTGATGGTGATGGGGTGGTGATGGTGATGGGGTGGTGATGGTGATGGGGTGGTGATGGTGATGGGGTGGTGATGGTGATGGGGTGGTGATGGTGATGGGGTGGTGATGGTGATGCGGTGGTGATAGGGTGGGATGGTGATGGGGTGGTGATGGTGATGGGGTGGTGATGGTGATGGGTGGTGATGGTGATGGTGATAGGGTGGTGATGGTGATGTGATGGTGATGGGGTTGTGATGGTGATGGGGTGTTGGTGGTGAAAAATTGGTGATGAGGTGGTATAGAGATGGTGAAAAAGTGGTGGTGGTGAAGGTGTGGTATGTATGTATGTAAGCAGCTGTGTCGTGGCGTAATCTCACCGTCTGTGTCCCCACTGGCTCAAGTGAGGAACTTAAAGGGCTGGTACCTACTCACCCCCTCCCTTTACCTCCCTCCCCCACCTCACCTCACCTCTCAGCTCTCCCCACCTTTCCTCAACCTTGTCTTATCCTCCTTCACTTCAACCTATCCTCCCTTCCCCTCACCTCACTCACCTCGAATCCCCACCCTCCCTCACCTCCCGTTCCCTCTCCTCACCACAAAACAACCCCCCTCTCCACCCTCTCTCCAAGATCTCTCTTCTACCCTATTAACTATTATGAAATACCTTATCCCACTCCACTTACTACTGCCACCCACACCACTCACTACTACACCCCACACCACTCACTACTACCGCCCACACCACTCACTACTACCCACATCACTCTCTATCACCACCCACAGCAGTCACTACCACCCACCTCATCCACTACCACCATCCATCTCATCCACACTATCATGTCTTTACCCCACCCATCATCCATCACCACCCAACTCAAGTACCACCACCCCACCCACCCACCCATCCACCCACGCTATCACCCATCCTACCCACAACACCATCCTCAGCACCTGACCAACCCACGCAAGCATTCATTATCACCTGTAATATTTTCGAAGTGAACACGAACCACAGCTCCATATCTTAATGTTTCGTTCGTTCAGCCTCACTCGGACATATTTCACAGTCTTACGTCCTCACTTACATCGCTGAAAAGACAGTCAAATGACACTAAGACTCATCCGGAACTTGA